TTTTTAATTTTAGCTGAAAGAAGTAAATAGCATCTCCACGAGTGGTTGTAATGGTAGGAGACAGTGAATCTGATTCTGCTTTGGAATCTATGAAGAGTGGCTCCGAACAGGGAGTGGAACAGGGTGCCCCTTAATACAGAGATCTGAGGGGTGCCTAGGGAGGCCAGAATTATTATCAGTGTTATTTTGGTAAATGCACTTGATGGGTGCTTCTTGGTATGACTTAGAAATGGGAGCAACTCTCCCAGTCCTCCTGGGTCCCCTAACCTGTCTTTTCTTCCCCTCCCATAGTATTTCTTACTGCCTAAGTACACAGTTTCCTTATGTTTATTGTGTATCTGTTCTCCCACCAGAGAGGAGTAAGAAAAAGAGAGGAAGGGAGGAAAGGCGGAAGGAAGGAAGAGATTGAATTCTGCCTATTTACCTGGCAGTGGTTTAATAAGTATTTGCTGAAATAAGAAGCCCTGCTCCTCAGTGGTCCCTTTTAGTTGTGCAAACACAGGGCTCCAAGGAAGAGAATGAGGACGTGTGAGGCCTGGAGGAAATCGGTTAACCTGCATAAAGAACGTGGGACTTGGCGTGAGGTGAGGAATGAAAGCCCCACCCTCCCTGGTGTAAGTTTGGGCTGCCTGTTGGAGCCTCCAGATGGCCCAGCCCTTGGCTCAGAGCCCAGGAAGGGTGGCGAAGCCACTGCATGGGGAGCAGAGGGCTGAGGGGTTGACCTGGTGTGATCGAGTCCCAGGTCCCTTGGCACTGCTGTGCCTCGAGAGCAGTGACCAGGTGGAGCATCAGACCGAACACTGCCCTGGGGGACAACCCCTGAAATGACATCCTGATTGCAGTAAACTGCCCTCTTTCCTCAGGCAATGGGCACGATCCTGTTCTTTCTGCTTAGCGGTTTTTTCCTTCGGTACTGAGGATCCAACTTGGGCACTCTACCACTGAGCTACATCTCCAGCCCATTTAAAAATTTTTTTTGAGATTGAGTCTCACAGAATTGCCTAGGCTGGGCTTGAACTTGCCGTCCTCCTGCCTCAGCCTCCTGAGTAGCTGGGACTAGAAGTGTGCTCCATTCCTGACTTCTGCTTAGTGTTTTGGCTCACTGAAGGAGAGTTTAGGCCATGGGGTTTTGAGAAATCGAGGGTGAGCTGGCTAGGGAACTCTCAGGAAGGGATTATCCTCCTTTCTGTTAAAACAGACCAAGAGGGTTCAAGTAATTAATTTGGAAAATAAATGTGATCATATTTGTAGCTTGACCACACAGGCCTTATTACCCCTTCTATAAGTAACAATAAATATAGAGCTATGTTTGAATATTCTGTCTTTGTGCCCTCAAGTGTCTTCTTGAAACATATAATAGTTTGGTTTTAAAAAATCAGATACATTCTTGTTCCTTTTCCTAAATCATTATAGTCTAACACACAACTGTGTAGATTGGAGAAAGAAAAAAATTCCACTTATATCCACGGTGCGCCTCACCTGCAGCCAGGTCCCCCGACCCCTTGCTCCTGCTTAGAGCTGAGCAGGTGCAAAGGGAGGCACCGCAGCCCTTCAAGCAACCACCGGTACACTGCTTATTCCTCAAGATGAGCCAGCTAAGGAGCAAGCACACATGTCCTTTCACAGAGAGTGCACTTCAGGTGAGGTTTTCTGATGGGGAAGAGGTAGAATCCCTTTTCTAAGCTGTGTCCATGGAGCTGCTTCCTATAGAGCTGAGCGCATGCTGCCCAGCTGACTGGGGAGGGTGGGGTATCTTAGGTTATAAACGTGTGTTAATAAGTACCCTCCTCACCCTGTTAAGTGCATGATAGAGGTTCTTAAATATATATTTTTAGGAATGGAAACTACTTTATCTCTGGGTATCTGGGTTTTCTTACTGTGTTTTTGATGAGGGGAGGGAGAGAGAGATTAAATTTGTAACTCTCAGCTCTTAAAACTTCTGACCCCACAGAAGGGTCACATCTCTTGTGGCAAATAGCCATGAGAGATTTGGATAAAAGGCCCAGTAGAGCGAGCAGCTGTTAGCTGGGTGACACCAAGCACTTAGCAGCTCGGCTCTGGCATCCACAGTGGAAGGGCTGGGTCAGGGAGTGTGCAGTGGGGAGAGGCAGGGGTTGCTGGTGAGCTGGAGTCCAGAGGAGAATTTCAGAATCCAGGCACCTTTAATTGTATTCAGGAATTCAGAGTTTTCAAAATAACCTATGTGGGTGGGACCCTAGATGGCCAGTATCCTGAGAGAAAAGCAGTATCAAAAGCAGAGTGGACACTGGCTATGGGTGTTACAGGAAACAGTGCTAGCGGAAAGGGGGTAGAAGGACAAAGTTTACCCTCTGCCTTTCTAGGATGTTCTCTTCCCAGTTTCACGTCACTGAGTCACAGACTAGGAGCAGGATTGCTGTGGTCTGATGTTTGTGCTGCTCCTTCCCAAATTCACGCGTTAAAATCCCACCCATTAGGATGTGGGGCCCTTGAGAGGTGATTAGATGACACGTGTGGGGCACAGGGGAGTCCAGCCACCCTTCCAGTCTGTGGAGGCAGAAGTCTTTCCATGAGCCAGGAAGCGGGCCCACACTTGCAGGAGTCTTGTTCATGGACTTTCCTGCCTCTGGAATTGTGAGAAATAAATCTGTTGTTTATAAACTCACTAGTTTATGGTATTTTGTTATAGACGCCCCAGTCATCTAAAACAAATACAGTCTCAGCAGGGAGAAGGGTGAAGATCCCTTTCTTTTCCTTGCTCTCCGGTGTGATATTCTCAATTCCCCCTTTCTCTCGCCTGACAGGGCCTTGCTATGCAGTCCAGGGTGGTCTGGGACTTGCTATGTAGCTCAGGCTAGAATCAAGCACGTAAGCTTTCCTGAGTGCTAGGGTTACAAGTGTGGGCCGCCATGCCTGGTTTCGTTGCATCTTTCTCATAGTAAAATTACCTTTTGGATGACATCTAGTCGCAGCTTTCTGCCTACATCACCAATGCTTTCCCAGCTGGGCAGGGCTCTTGCGTCTGCCTTCTGTAAGTTCCAGAGCTTGTGGGTGCCTGGGGTGTTCCCCAGGTTTTGTGGACAATCAGACACTACATATTTAAGGAACAAATTAAAGAGAAAATATACTTTGTCGTCATTGTTGAATACATACTGTATTTAACTTTTTTTAATCCCAGAGAAGTGAAATGCAACATCTGTTTGAGTTCATGTAACATCCAAAGACTGATAACTCAGAATTTCCTAAGTAAAGTCATTTTAAGGCACTCTGCAGAGCCAGCTTTCATCTCTCCCTTCGTTGGGTTTTTCTCCAAACTGTAGCAGAATACCTGGTTTCTCTTCCTTGGAAGTGATACACACATGCTCATGCGCTTAACCTGCTCTTCTGTCCTTGAAGACGCTGACAAACAACACAATTCCAGGGGGAAAGAGGGAAGGATGGACATATGGGGATGGGGTGGGGAAGAAGACCGCAGAGTGGACATATACGAGCAAATTAACAGATGCGGCAGTAGCAGAAAACACAAGGAGCAGGAAGGAACTGGAACAGGGTGGGGTAGACCAGATGGCTGGTGCCCGGTGAAAAATAGGCTACATTACCCAATGAGGTCTAAATTAATTTAACTGTTTCTTTTTTCATTTTTAAGGACAGGGCCAATGTAAGGGAGGTATCTCAAAATTCTGGAACATCTATATCAGTAAGTGTGCTTTCTTGTGCTCACGAGCTTAGGAAGGGCTGATCTGAGAGACGGGTATGACGTGGGCGGGGGCCCTGAAATGCCCTCTGATAAAAAATAAGTTCCCTTACCAGCCCATTTCTGTGCCTGGAATGTCCACCACTACAGCTCTCCTCTGGATTAAGGCATTATCTGTAGCCCCTTTAAAACATAAATGTCACCTGGGAAACTAACACTCAACTAACTATTTAGCAACCACTGCTGAATTGCCACCTGTCAGAGAGCAGGACCCTGAGAGATGGGACTTGGGGCAGGGACATTCTCTTGAATGAGTAACAGGAAAGGAGGCCTGGTGGTATGAATGAAGGATGGGGAGGGGCCAGGTGGCTGAGTGGTGCAACATAGTGCTTGTCCTGGAAATTACTTCCATGGTGGACAAAGCTTAGCAAAATGAGCTCTTCCCACAGCACAGGCTTCCTTAGAGGCTTTGTGTGTGTAGTGTGCCCAACAGTTTCTAGATATTACAACATCCTGCATATATACAGAATATGAGATTCACTTGAGTCCATCCTGAACATGGTACGACTCCAGTGAGTGAAAGACAGTAAAGTCCTCAATTGCTTTCATGGAAAATATCATCACTGTGAAGTTTAAATCAGTATCTCTATAGGCCTAGATAGCATACAGGTAGACAGTGTATGCACAGGTACACATACACATTTACACACATTCACATTTACTCACACTCATCAGTGTGGCTCTCATAAATGTGAAGGGTGAGACTCCTCTTTTCAGCCATCTAGAATTTGGATGTGTGGTGGCTGCTGCCAGGTTTTTGGACAAAGGACTTGGCTTGGGGGCAATGGAACCCCTTCCTTGGTCACCAGAAGACCTTCTGTTATTGAGATGGCTCTGCAGAAGTGGCCGAGCCTTGGATTATAAGGACTGGCATGAGTCTTACCATTAGGATTGGGACTTTGAGACAGGAATGTCAATGATGTGCCCTTTTAAACTTCTAGAGTTTGGGAGACTGGGGGAGGCGCAGGTAGAGAGAGAAACAAGGCAGGGGACGGGCTTCTGCTCCTAGAAAAGCTGGAAATCACCTACCTGGGAGCAGGCCCCACTGCAGCATTTGGCCCCTAGGGGCTGCCCCTACGCTAGGGATCAGTCAGGGATGAGGTCAGCTGGGAGAACGGGAAGAGACTCTGGAGGAAGCTTAGGAAGTATGGGAGGATGGGATCTGGGTTGTGGGGAAGGGTGAAGGACAGAAGACACCAGAAATATTTCTTAACCCCATTTTCACATTGGAGTTATCTGAGGAACTTACAAAGCCTGATATCTATCCTTGGAGATTCTGCTATAAATATTTTGGAGAGGGCATCAGGCGTGGACACTCTTCTAGCCCCTCAGACTATTCTAATGTGCACCTGGTAATAAGCATGTGGCCCCAAAGCAGGATGAGGACCCTCTTCAGGGAAATAGTTGAAGGGAAGGTTAGGCACAAGGGGAGTGGGTTGGGAGAATTCTGAGAGTTTTGGTCTGGACAGTCGATCCTGTGCTGATTTGTGTGGTGGCTTTACAGCCTTCTAGCTGGTGTTTTCTAATGCCATTTCTGGTTGAAAAATCTGGCTGGCATGGAAGTGTTTGGGCATAAGGAGTGGCTTTCCCTTATTTTTCCTGTATCTTCAAAGAGGAATAATTCACTGTGCTCTCCTGGGGCCAAGAAGACACATTCTAGGGTTGATGCTTCAAAGTCGGAAGTGGATTTTCTGCTGTAGAATAAATACATATTTCATAAATAAATTAAGTCAGTAGGTATGCCAATAAATAAAACAATAAATAAAACAATGCACAACATGTTTGTTCTCTTAGGGTAGTTCTCCACTTGTCCCACTGATCCTGATGATGTACACTCTGCCTTTGATCACCTGAAGGCACTCAGCCTGGCCATTGTAGGGGAAAGCACTGCTTTGGCCCTGACTCTCCAAGGACTGGAGACCGTAGAGGAACCACAAGAGATTATGAACGCTGGCCACCCACACGGAGTGGGGAGGAGGAGGGACATCACACATTCCCTCTGTTTCCTACCCAAGACTGTGTAGGGACAGGAGGCAGGGTTTGGGAACCAAGGCTGGGCCATGTTAGATATTTGAAGTCCAGGCTGACCAACTCTTTGTCCTTGGGAAGCTTCACCGTGGTGGGGTTGGGATGGACTTGAGGTCTGGATGAACCCAATCTTTCCACACACAAAAAAGATACAGCAGGCACAACTCCTGCTTCGACACAGCCCCCCACCAGCCAACCAGCTGGCCCCATTGGGCACATGGTAGGGTGGATAGGAGGTACTGGTCACACGATGGGAGGGTGGTGAGGAGACAGGCAGGATGGCACTCGATTTAATGGAAACCAGCTGTCCAGGGCTTCAGCTTCTGGAGCCACCAGCCAGTGCTCATTTCCTCCTCCTTAGTCTCTGCCATGTGGTTCTGCTTGCTGGGCTTTGCCTTGTCTATTAAGAGACCTGCATGTGGACATGGAAACATGTAAACAAGAGTGGATATTAACACAGTGAGCAAAGAAATAGTATTCCTTCATACATGGGCTTCATAAAGAGACCTCAAGGGTATAACTTTGAAATTCTATGCAAAATTTTCAGTATTTTCATACACACTTCTGTCTAAAGAGGGTTTCTAACTTTCCTCTGGTTCTTTAAAAAGATTAAAATAATATTAAAGAATTCTAAGTCATTTATATGTGTAACCTAGTAGCAAGACATAAAAAACCCTGCAGAAATGAGAGGGAAATCCAGACTTCTCCTCTGGTCTTGTTCCTTAGATGCAAGGCACAAAGAAATCTGTGGAAATTTGACCAGAGCTGGGAATCTCCCCAGCGTTCCTGTCGTGGGCACACATGCCAACTGTGTGGAAACCTGCTTCTTGGGGGTATCACCGGTGTTCAACCTGAAGTTGCCAGCCAACTTTTCTTTAAAAAGAGAATATTCCGCCCCACTATGTCTGTGGGTACTTGTATATGTTGCTTTATGTAACAGTCATGACTCTAAAGAAGTGGGGAAATGGAATTTTTATATTAAAAAGAAAGGGAAGGCTGGAAGTATAGCTCAGTGAATGAGCACTTGCCTAGCAAGTAGATTTTAATCCATGAAGGGGTTGATCTTAGGCAAAGGCACCATTGGGCACCTTTTTGTTCACTGTCCTGTTTATCTCTGGATTTTTGATGTTCTAGAATAATTGAATAACAGTGTACTGCTACAAGGGCATATGCTTTTTGTGATGACGTATTAAGGTACATTGTTTTTACATTATATGCATGGTTTCAGTTTTAGAAAAAAAATCCCAAATTCTTACAAAGACATTCAATGACACTTCTTCCAGGGATCTGAAACTAGCAGACAACTCTATTAGACATACAAATGAGGAATTAACCTGAAACCCATTCTAGAGAATGTTCCTCTGTGTACTCTGTGCCCCAGGATAGCTGTTAGGCTCTTTGGTGTCTGTAAATACTGGTTCCTCTTCCTGGTTCTGTAAATACTGGTTCTTCTTCCTCTTCCTATGGTGTCTGTAAATACTGACTGTGATAGACCTTGGCAACCCTTGCTATGTTGCATAGCAGATAAGGCAGAGGCAGGAGAAGGAGGGCAATGGTGTGGGGACACATGTGAAGAGACCTGGAGCCAACCTCAGTCAGCTCACATATACTAAGCGCAAAAGCCACCTCCACAGGACAATTGCTTTATATGGCGATTAGAGTTCCTTATTGTTCAGATGTGTTACACAATAATTATGCCTTTAGGTTAGCATATTTTTTTGTACAGAAAATATTTTAACTGCATGGCTGAATTCTATCAGTCTTCCCAAGCAAGAGCAGAGGCTCTGTACTTGGTACTCTGTCTGTGTGTGCTCACAAGCCTAACAGCACTGGGGGAGGGTGAGTAGGGCACTGAGAATGAGCTTTCTTTCCACTTCACAGATGAAGACGTGTAGGTGCCCAGGGTGACTTCCATGAGACTTTATCCTAGAGTTAATTAAAAAAAAGTCAGGCTTCGGTGTCTCAGGTCCCCTGGTCATGAGTCTGTCCCATGGCAATGGGCATTGCATTTGATACAGAGCTGGCTTGGGAATATCTACTTTACTGAAGACAAAAAACTACGATCAATTTTTTGCCTGCAAAAAGTTTTTGGAATCAAAGCTGAGTTTAAAGCTGTTTATCTTTGTACAGCAAATGCCCTATTTCTCAACTAATGAACATGTTAAAAGAAGGCATCTTCCTCTGTTTGATTATGTGAATGGTTCCCTGGGAGCAGGCATTTTCTTGCAGTTTCTGCAGGTCAGGCAATGGATGAGTCTTAGTTCCCTCAGGTGTGTGTGTGTGTGTGTGTGTGTGTGTGTGTGTGTGTGTGTGTGTACAAGGCGATGGAGGACTCAGAGTCCTCAGGTGTGTGTGTGTGTGTGTGTGTGTGTGTGTGTGTGTGTGTGTGTGTACAAGCTCAAGTGCACACACAGGAATACACACAAAGAGGTAGGTGGTGTACCCTCTGTCCATCCAATATACATGTGCAGAGTCTTTTTTCTCTTTCCTAATTAATTAGAAGTAATAGCTTCCCATAGTTCCCGGTATGAGAGGGAGTGAAGTGGGAAATAATTTAATTGGCTGTCTTGCTTTCAAAGCTCAATTTAATGAAATAGTTCTCAGCCTGAAGAGCATGTATTATCTTTCCTGTTATTTTTCCAATTAACATTTATTGGGTCACGTCTGTGTGGAATATTCTAATTGGTTCAAAGGGATGGGGGCCAAGGGGCCCAAGCAGATGGAGAGATAACCAGCTGTCTCTTCCCTCCCAGTGCCGGGTGTGTACTAGTGTGGCTGCTGGGTTTCCCCAGTTCCTTGCCTGGCACAAGCTCAAAGTGCTTGAAGGAAGTCCTGCCCTGTCACCTTCCCATCCTCAGTGGCTCACAAGCGGGTGTACCAGGCTGCTCACAAACAGGCTGATGTCTTGGGTAGCGAGAAGGGTAAGGGGGCACTTTGCAAGGTTCTGGACATGTGTAACCCCAGCAGGGAAATGAATGGCTCCTGAGGCTTCCTGTGAGCATCATTTCTCTGGGGCAAAGATGGGACACACGGAGACTGCCCCCCAGCCCCAAGTATAAAGTTGCTGCAAGAATGAGGGATTTAGAAGGATCCCACAACACTCGCTCTGCTCTTCTCTTACAAAGCAAGATGTGGAGCAGGGTTGGGACTAGGGGTGCAAGTCAGGCACCCAGGCAAACACCCAAGGAGTCTGGCTCCCATAGGGGCCTGCAATGCCTGGCTGCTATCTGTGCAGCCCGGAGAGAGAGTGCTTCTTACGTGGTGTCCTCACAGCCTCGCTTGCCTTGCCCCATTTGCAGGCCTGGCACACAGGAAAGCATCCTATCCTCCTTCCTGTCTCCTCCCTGCTCCCAGCGATGCTGGGCCTCAGCCAGCCCAAGACCAGCCCTGTGCAGAGATGCTACCATGTAATCTGTGACCCTCACCATCCTCAGTGAGCTCTGCATAGTGCTGGGCCTTGCTCTAAGTCTCAGTACCTCCCCATCGTTGCTGTAATCCTGTGTCTATTCCCTTCCCCCTGGGCATTTCTTACCAAACACCCATCCATTTTAAGTAACAGCCTGTGTCTGTTTCCTGGGCTCGCCAAGGACAGATGGGGGCCTGGAGGAGACCAGGCTTCTGCTTGGCCACACTGCCTGCTGCCTGGAGAGCTGGGGAAAAGAGCTGGTTAGGTGCTCTTGGGGACCACTCCCAGGCCCAGCCGGGACAGAGGCACATTTGGGGGTGTGGACAGCCCTGAGGAAACTGTGTGGCAGGGCTGCAGGGAATGGGGCCTTTACCAAATAGGCCGACAGCACGGGGAGACAGCCTACAGCCTATGTGCCTGGTGACAAGAATATTTTTGTATTCACATGACAAATCTGTAGTGCCACTCCCAAACTGAAGTCCCAGCCAAAATGACAGGAACAGTCAGGCCAGTAGAGAAAGTTCTGAGTATGTAGGATTTTTCCCTCTCTACCGCTGGCCTGAGTCTGTGGTAGGAAGAACAAGCCGTTCCTGGCTGGTTTTGCCAGCCACTTAAACTCTGTGAATCGTGCTGGGATTTCAAGTCTGGCCCAAACCCGAGGCTCAGCCTCCTCTCTTTGTCTTTCCAGAAGGTCTCTTGGTGTTCCTGCTAGGAATTCTTCCCTGAGCTGCTTCCTGTGGAGCTGTATAGCAATCTCCTTTCTTTCCATTGCTGCTGCTGATGCAGTGTTTAGGCCTCTCTGGCAAGGTGGTGTGGGGCACCAGACTGCCAGTGCAAGAGTTTCCCTGAGCTGGCTTTGGGTTGTCAAGTAGAAGGGACCTGAGGGTCTGCAACCAGCTCCATACCCCATGGATCTACCAACGTGACAATGTCATCTATCAGGTGATGCTTTAGACATGATTTGACTGTCTTTTTTTTTTTTTGGTATTGGGGATCAAACTCAGGACCTGCTGCTTCCAAGGCAGGTGGCGGCACCACTGAGCTAAATCCCTGGCCCTTATTTGACTGTCTTGATCTATCGGGGAAAGGTTCACAGTTGTTGTTGTTGGTGGAAGGTGGGGGCTGCAGTGCTACCCTCTCTCCCAGGATGCATGCCTATGAAAGCATCTAAAAATGGCCAAACAACCTTGGCTGTCCTCTGGCCACTTGACTGGCAACTCTCTGGAAGACCTTCCACAGGCAGATGTCCTACCAGGGAATGGAACCAGATGTATGCAAGAACTCAAAAGAAATTAATGGTAATAAGACTCTGAGGTAAAAATATCTGTGTGCACTGAGCTGGTTCACTCAGCTCCCTTCCTATCTAAGGATCATTTAGGCTTAATTATAGAGTTCAGGCATTCACTGGGCTTTTGATTAATTTTCTTTTCAGCTTGAAAAGTGTGAGTGTGGGTCTTTGTGTGTGTGTGTGTGTGTGTGTATGTGTGTGTGCGTGCATTTATATCTTTCTTTGCAACTCAGTTGTGAGCTGGCCCTGGCAATGTTTAATTGTGCCCTCTGTTCTAACAAGACTGTTCAATATGCCAGGCTGGGCTGGGAAAGCCATTGTTCTCACTGCCTCCGCCCCACAGGCTGAGCCTGCTGTGCCTAGCGATGCGATGGCAGGGCTTCCCTCAGCTGCAGAACACATGCTTTCCTCTTTGGTTCTGTACCTGTGGTATTTAAGGGATGCAGAGACCAGGAGAACAGATTTTCTACTCCACTAATGACTCATACCATGCTAGGGGCTGCCAAGTGACAGCCAGCTCACCCACACCAGAGCCCCTGACAGGTGTTTCTCTGGGCTGGCCTTTCTGGAGATTACAAGGTTCTCTAAGCAACAAAGCAGTCTGTCTCTTATTTTTGGTAAGTCTGCTTGGTAGATAGGTAAGGACTCCATGACTAAATGAAAGAGACTTTTTTTCTCCTTCTTTTGTCTTCTGTGCTTCTTAGACAGGAACGAATTAAGAGGCAGCACCTCACAGAGGAAGAGTATGGGATTCTGAACCAAAGGCCCAGTTTTAATCCTGCTCTTGACACATTTGTTTGTGTGTCTATGGATATTGTCACTGAATCTCTTCTGATCACAATTTGCCATCTGTAAAGTGGGGATAATAGTAGTAATAATACAATATTATAGCTTTTATAAGATTCTCTCCAGAGATAAGAAAACGCATGTGGCAACTTTATATAAAAATATTCTATAAATCAGAATTTCTTATACTATTGAGAACTGCTTTTTTTTTGGTACTGGGGATCAAACCCAGGGCCTTCACACTGAGCTATAGCCTCAGCCCTTTTTGTAAACTTTAAATTTTGAGACAGGGTCTTGCTAAGTCCCTAAGTTGCCTATGCTGGATTCAAACTCTGATCCTCTTACCTCAGCCTTCTAGAGTGGTGGGGTAATAGGCATACACCTCCATGCCTGGATTTGGGGATATTATTCCCAGTAGAGGGAGCTTAAAAAAGGTCTACGGAACAAGAGACAGAAAGGGGACTTCCCTCTAACTTTCCGATGTGCTGTGGGCCACAGCAATGACCTGGGAATATAAAACGCTTTCAGCAAAGACCCCAGATTGAGGGTTCAACCTCAAAACAGCTGTCACAGATAAAGAGGAATCTGGAGCATTCATTTTGTGACATAACAGTAATGAGAGGTTTCTCTTGCCCTTTAAAGGGTGGATCCAATTTTCTGTAATTTTTAGGCAAATTGGTTTAGGGTGAATGGTCCAGGGATGGGTAAGTGTTGTGGCTGGAGACAAAGAGAGGTTGTGGGTCCCAGGTGACATGCCCATCTTGAGTCAAGATTTGAGGGAACATGGGCCTGCCACTGGCCTAATGCTGATTGGGTGTGGGACTTTGAAAAGTGACCTGATTTAACAGGGCCTCAATTTCTTGGGAGATCAAGGACTAAAAGATCTCATTTAATCTCCCAAGATCTGAGGAAATGCTCTTTAATAAACAGGACTTCAAAACTCTCGGGTCACCAAGAGATCACCTGTACAGGATACAAATACAGTCCCGAGATTGCCCAACTAAAACATAAGCCACTGAATGAGCCCCCTTCAACTGAAAGGCACTCGCGGAGCAAGGCAGGGGATGGGAAGATGCAGATGACCCCAACAGAGATTTCAAGGTTAATGCCTTTCACTAGACAACATCCTGACTAAGCTGAACTGCGATGAGCCACAGATCACTGGGAGAAAAGAGGTCTTTTCCTTGTAAAACAATAACTTTAAACAATTGGCTACAAGGCAATAGAAATGGTCTGCCAGGCTGATCCCAGAACAGAGCAGAGTTCACAACAGTATCGATGACAATAATTGTAATGTATATTTGCATAGTGCTTTTGAAGGACTTTCCTGTCTGTTTTTGTTTTTTTTCCTCATTTTTGATTACAAAATTTCCCAGAAAAACAGCTTTGGGTGATTCAAGAAAAAACTCTAAAAAAGTGTAATTTTTTTTTTCAGGAGGAACAAGTCTATGCTTGTACATGCTGCACCTGCCTTAAGTACAGATATGTATTTAATAAGTACAGATACCTCTTTGAAAAAGTTCTACTATAGGTAAACAGAACTGTATTATAACATATCTTATTCTGACAGGCTGGGGAAATCTGAAAATTGAAACCTTGCCTCCGATTTTGTAACATAATGTTTTTCTTATTGATCATTAGAATTTTTGATTTTCAAAAACCAGATTTACTTAAAGTGGAGCTATATGGATTATATTCCAGGATCAGCATCCACTCCCCCAGAAATTCTAAAGATGGCACCTAAATCAAGCTGTGGGAGAGACTGCTGTTTCTGATGTCAGTGTGGACAGTAAGCAGATTTATACTTCTGCCATGGAGCTCTCTGGGGGTGCCTCTGTCAGGAAGAATAAGGAAGCACCAGAAGGGACAGCCAGTAGAATCCAAATGTAACAACTGCATTATTTCTAAATGGAATGTCTCCAGGTCTTCTGTGATGCACTGGTGTGTCATTAATGTGTTGCTATAAATAAGGTGCCATCAATAACTGATCTATAAAAGAATAGCCAATGGTTGGCGTGTGCCTGTTAACTCTCTTATGTAAACCAGTACCATCTCCTGGGGCTAGAATCTGAAAGGAATTGCATTAAACCACATTTTAAACAAGAGTCATAAACAATCCTGCTTGCTTGTCATTCTGCACCCTAAACTCTGGTAGGAGATACATTTTTGGAGCCAGCCGTGGGACTGTAATTGCTCTGGACTTCAACTCTCTCACTTCTGAAATTAGTCTTGCAGTATTCATTCAGTAAATGTAAAGCAACACTGTGAGAATTTTATAATTAATTTGCACACGGGTTGAACAAGTATCTCTCTGTGTAACTCTGTGTGTGTGCTGTAATTTGCACTACTGAAAATAAAGGGAAAAGCTCACTTTTGGGAGTACAATTTAAGTTGGAAGAGTTGAAAAATCCTCATTGTAAAGACTGGAAGCTCTTTAAAGAATTTTATATTGGCTCCACTAAAGGAAAACTTGCCTCCCAACCTTGCCGGGTGGATCTCAGAAACACAAGCTTGCTTAATGTAAGTAGCCCAGATTTGCATGAAAGAACTTTGAAGTTAGGCCTTAGGAAGCACATTTTCACAAATGCTTGAGCAGTGAAACATCTGTGAAACAGCTAAAATAAACCTATACGGACACATACGTAGTGTATGTACTGTGTATCCACAGAGGCTGCAGGTGTATATGTAGGCACTGCTGGAAAATCTGCTAGCTATTATGCTATATGCTTCATGGTTGTGTATGCATGTGTTTGCGTTCGTGGGTGTGCATATGTGTTTATGCATGTCTGTATTTTATGTGTTCCAATTATTCAGAAGCTAAAAACAGAAAAAAGAATGAAAATACAATTCTTATTTGCTGAAGTGTTCTTGAAACCCTAAATGGGTAATAAATTTTTTTTTTTTGGTAAAGTCAGGGCTGGTGATGGGAACAGAATAAGTAGCTGTAAACAAAAATTATAATTTGGCTAACAGTAAAAAACATGGCGAGGGACTGAAAAATAGCTACTACAGAATTCAGGAACTGTGTATCCAAATACTGTGACTAAAAATACTCTGAATATGCAGTCTTTCTGGGAAGAGGTGGGTAGATGGAGCCGGCAAGAATCTCCATAGGTCACATCAGCACCTCGGACAGTTCCCAGAAGGCGTTTTCTCACGTTCCTTTCATTCCTGTCCGTTCACAATCTGATGATCAACGAATAAGTGCACAAGATTTAATTTGTGACAACTTATGCTTTCCTTTGCCCATCACCCATTCTTTTAACACCCAACTTTCACTCTACCCATTTCCCCAGCACCCCCCAGTCAGACAATGGAACTGTCTTACGAACATCTGGTGTAGATGTTTTCACTCCCGCTTCTAATTGGCTGGGAAGCAGCATTTGCCACAGGCACTGTTTAATTTCATTTCCATCCCCTGCATCTCACAGGAAAGAAATGGTCAATAGTTCAAATAAAAGAATCATCCTGGTCAGCTCCAAAATATGGCTACTTGCATGGTAATCAGCAAGTCTGTCAAATCAGCGATTTCTTTATTCCTAAGAGGAAAGGACTTTTCCTAAGGATTATGGTTCTACCACCCAAGGAGCAGCTCTTCACAAGTAGCTGCAAAGGCTGGCAAACCAAGAGGTCTGCTTTGGCTCAGAAACTCAGTTTGGCTCCTGGTAACCTCACTGCGTGCCTCAGCGGCATGTGCTCCACACACAGTCAGGCCAGTCTACTTCTATTTAGGAGGGATCACAACCAGGGGTGGTCCCCGCTTGGGCCTCCACATGAGGACTTGGGCATCGTTGGCATTGGGCTTCACTAGTGCGTTTGGGGGAATGGGTTCCATCCGGCTCAGGATCCGGGGCTGCTCCTGCTGAGTCCTGCCCACCAGCCGGGCCCGCTGTCCCAACAGCTGGAGAGGGTCCACCTCAATGTCCACCCTCATCCTCCACTTGATGGTCTGCAGAATGATCTTCTCCTTGGTGGTGGTGTTCATGGCCACCAGCCAGGTCGTGAAACTTTGGTCCCTCTTGATTCTTGTTAGCAGTGGCACATTGCTGTCACTCACTGGCACTGCCCATGTCACACTGGGGTAGAAATTGTCATTCATGCTGACGGAGAACCTGGAGATCTTGTTGGTGGGGCCAACCAGGGTCACAGTCTCTGTGGTGTTCCCATACCAAGGGTAGCTCACCCCATCTGAGTCACTGATGGCTTTTACTCTCCCTTCCCTCAAGTCAGGCAGTTCCCAGCTGGACCTGGCAAAGCAGAAGAGATGCACAAGAAAGGAAGAGGCTGAATGAATTTTGCTGAAGCCGAAGAGGCACCCACCACTTCCTAATGCACAACCTGGGTGAAACGGGAAATGCAGAAGGGAATTTGGGCCACAAAGTTCTGTGCTGTGCTATTCCAGGATTAAACGAGAACACATCAAAACGGAAATAAAACAGCAACACCAAAACAAATTAAATAAAACCATTGCTGACCCAATTGGAAGTGGAAAGCTCAGAGGCAGTTGTGAAATAACAAAGAGGGGCCAACCAGTTGGGATGATGGTGACTAGCAGCTTGGAGGCTTTCCACAGCAGGAACTGTTCTCTTGGAGGAGTATGAGGGTGCACAGTTTTGGTTTTGGGGGGAAGAACTGGTGGCTAGAATATGATACACTTGGTAGCAAGAGTATCAGGTAAAAAGAACAAAAGGAGGCAAAGGTATACTAATTTCTTAGAAGAAAAACACAACAGTATAATGTCTGGTAGTTGAACTGTAGCTTTAAGGAAATCCAGGGCTTAGAAAATGAAAATACAGAGATGCTGGTCACTTCTGGAAGCCATCTGGCTTGAGAACATTGCACTTTAGGCTGTCACGTGTGGTCTCTGATACTCTGCTCACTCCTACCAGCTTCCAGTCCAGCCTGAAAATCTCATTGCTTAATTTGGGAAGCTCACCCTGCTGGGGACCTGCCTGCTCTTTGTGGCTGTTCCCCAGTCTTGCACAGAATGAGGGAGGAGGGCATGCGCTCCACCCTTAGCCCATGTTTTGTCCCCCTGCCATAGACTGTTGTATATAATAATGATAATAATAATAATAATAATAATAATAATAATAATAATAATAGCAAAGGCTGATATTTATGAAATGCTTTTCTCTACTCCAACCACCGTGCTAAGTACTTTATATCTAGCTGGGGATTTGGCTCAGTGGTTCCACCACCTGCCTCGCAAGCACAAGAGCCTGAGTTCGATCCCTGGTACTGAAAAAAAAAAAAAAAAAAAAAAAAAAAAAA